ACTTACCTCCCCGGAGGGACAGTAATTTTCTCAGTAGTTTCGACTCTCTGATCTCGCTGGGACCTCCAAATGTAAAATTGAAACCACAAAGGACAAGTCGAGCCCTCGAGTTGCAATAGCAAGAGGCTTTTATTTTACACAGGTACCTGTGGGCACAACTCCTGACAAAGGGAGAAGCGCGCCCCAGGTCTGGGGTTTGGGGTCTTTATAGGGCAGAAGCAGTTTACAGAAGCAGAAGCGTGGTTATTGGTTAGTTTAAACTATTACAAAATGCTACAGGGAGAGCGGGGAGCTTACTTATCACTAAGCCAGATGTCTCAACCATAAAACTTATTTATCAGTGAGTTGGAGATGTCTCGGCCATGAAACTTACTTATCAGTAAGCCAGATGTCTCGGCCATAAAACTTACTTATCGGCGAGTTGGAATTCGTGACTGGTACGCGACCTGCCTGAGAGACTTCATGGCTCCTGACTTTTATTTTTTTTTTTCAATGTCAGAAACATGAGACATCTGTAAAGAAGAGTTATATGCATGGAGTAGGAACCAACCCATGACAGAGATGTATGTTGCCTGCAGTGATTCTGGAGGGGAAGAGCTATCTAAGCCTTTTGAAACTGGAGTATTAGGCACTGGACATGAAGCTATGGGATTTACTGTTTGCACTCATAGATTTCAGTGTTGTTTTGGCCTAGTATTTTATCATTATGTTCCCATTTCCTCCCTTTTGTATACTTTGTGCCACTGTATGCTGAAAGTATGTAATTTGATTTTTAAGTATATAGGGGTTACCATTAAGAGACTTTGGACTTTTAAACAGTGTTGTGACTGCTAAGGACTATGAAAACTATTAAATTTGGAAAAAAATGCATTTTCCATATGATATGGTCATGAACCCATGGGTACTAAGGAGTGGAATGTGAATCCAGTGAGAATGTCTATAGGTCAAATACTTGAACACTTGGTCCTCAGTTAGTGGTGCTATTTGTGGAAGTTTAGACGATTTGGGTTTCTCTACGAAGGGTGTCATTGTGATGGGCTTTGAGAGTTCATAGCCTTGCTCCATTTCCAGTTGTTTTTGTTTCCTGTTTACTATTTGAAATGTGAGCTCTCAGCTTTTAACTTCTGCCATCATGCTTGCCACGTACTGCCATGTCTCTGTGCTATAATAGACTCATCCTTCTGTAACTACACCCCAGTCTAGCAGCAGAAATTAACCTCATTCTCCATGTGATACTGGTTTCACAAGCATGAATGAGGTAAGATTAAAGGTACTATGGAGTTTTACACCTCAGTTTTAGAGAGCTACTGAAGTCAATCAATGAATGGTAGGTCAAATTCCTGCCAGAAGGCCCAGAGAGGCCACTGCATGGATCTTTTGAGGTAAAGCCCAAGTTGCAATGGAGACCCCAGAATGTTTGAGTTGCCAAGACCATGGTACATCTTCTTAGGAAAGCTACTAGCATGGAAAAAACTTAACCAAAGAAAGGTTATTTGTGTTGAAGGTAGCATTAATGTATGGAAGATGCTACTCAAGTTTTTTGGAACACAGAAGAGTGCATTACAGGTGATAGAGTGCCCTGGTTTCAGAAAGCTGGCATTATAAATCAGCCACTTCCCTTCCTCCTGGGAGGACTGTTTATTGAGACAGCCTCAGGGTCACAAGAAGGGATCATAAACCCTGTCTTTCAAGATAAACTGGAGCAAACTGCCAGGAAGAAGGGGGGACCATAAGGGGGCCATAAACCTCTCAAAAATGCCCTTGATCCTCATGCAGTCAGGCAGACATAATTATATCCTATAAGCCCCAACAGTCCCTCCCAGGGGCAACAATTGCTTCCAGCATGCTGGAAGGGTCCTGTACCTTGCTGAACTGCCTCAATAAACTCAGTCTTGTCTGAAGTCAGGTATGATCTCTTTCTCTCCTGTTGTTCCTGTATTCTTCATCCAACATGCATATATTGAACATAAAACTGTTCAATTTAATATTTTCCATACTAGTTCTTGGTCTGGTTTTAGTCTGATCTTTCTGTTCAATGTCTCATTTTCTCCATTTTGAAATGGGAATGTGAAATCTGTGCCATTTTGTATTACTACTATGTAACTTGTTTTTGATGGTACCAGGGCCTCAGAGTTTAAACATTGCCCACGTCTCAGAAGACATTCTTCACTTATACTTTAGAATGGTATTGAAACTCTGAAAGAATATGTTGACAATTGATGTTTGACTAATACTATTTGTATTATTGTGGAACTTCTGTAAATCAAGACACCAACAGCTAGTCCCAGTGAAGGAGAAAGAGTTTATTCATGCCTGTTGGCTAACACATGGATCACTCCATAATAGCACGAACCCTCCAACTTCCATTTTTAGGGTCGTTTATAATCTACTCCTATGTGAGAGTTTAAGCAAGTAGCATATATGTGGTAATTAATCAAATAGTTACACGTGGTTATAAAATATCACAAGACAAAAGATTGTAAGGGTGTAGCAGTCTGTGAAACAAAGATTACAATGGTCCCATAAAAAAATGAACACCCCCCCCCAAAAAAAACAAAGGGGGCAAAGGCAGATTCTTGTTTACCTTCCTCATTCTTTTCTTAATTCTTCCTATCTTATCTTGGGCCCTTCCACTGGTCCAAAGTTCTTAGAAGCCATCTTATTTTTGATGAGTTGCCATCACAGTATTAGGATATATTCATAAACCTATGGGGAAAGATGTGAAAATTTATGGATTAACTATTATATGGTTTGTGTCATGTTGAGAATGGGTGGGCATATGATAGTTTATATTGACTGTCAACTTTTCAGAATCTACAATCACCTTAGTGGCAAATCTCTGGCCATGTCCATAAGGAATTTTCTAGATTAGGTTTATTGTGGTGGGAGCACTCACCCTAAATGTTGGTGAAACTTTTCTATGGACTGGGATCCAAGACTTCATAAGAAAGGAGAAAGCTCAATGAACACAAACATTCCTTGCTCTCTGCTTCCTGATGGTGAAGACAATGTGACTGTTAGCCTCCCATTCCTGCTGCCATGGCTTTGCTTCCATGATGGACTATATCTCTCAAACTCTAAGCCAAATAAAATCTTATTACTTAATGTGGGAAGCACTGGCTTCCACAGACAGGCCTGAGAATTATGACCTGCCCATGAGGCAGAATTGCTACAATCATCAAACTCTGACCCAGTTAAAGTTTAAACCACATGGCTCTGCAAAAACATGTTTTTCTGCCCTAACCTTTTGCTGCTCTTGGGAAACTTCCTTATCCTATAGATCAATCAGGTCTTGTGGTTTAACTGCCTCAACCCAGCGGAATTTGCCACTGTTCTCTTCCTCGTTTCTCTTCCCTTCCCCTCCCTATAAAAGCTTAAACTACCTGTTCAATAAATGAGACTTGATCAGAACACTGTCTTGTCTCCATTTCTCGTGTCTCTTGCCCCATTCAATCCCCACTCCTCATTCCAGGTACCTCATTGTAGATCCCGCGGGTCGGGACATTCCTGGTGCCCAACGTGGGGTCGGAAACTGAGGCAGCAGTGAGGGAGACGATGAAAAGAAGAAGGAGCACGCTTGCTAGACACTAACCTACTTCAGGACTGCTGCAGGAACCTGCCTCAGCTAAAACCGAAAGTAAGTGGAATCGTCTGATTATGGGGCAAGAATTGAGCCAGCATGAACTGTATGTTATACAGCTAAAAGAGGCTTTAAAGACATGAGGAGTAAAGGTTAAAACCCTAGACTTGTTTAGATTCTTTGATTTTGTCAAAGAGATGTGCCCGTGGTTTCCCCAAGAAGGGCTAATAGATTTAAAAAGGTGGAAAAGGGTTGGCAATGCCTTAGAGGACTACTATAAGGTCTTTGGCCCTGAAAAAAATCCCGGTCACAGCATTCTCTTATTGGAGTCTCATAAAAGAATTAATAGATAAAAGGAGGTGCCTACTCAGGCTGACATAAAGCAGACTGAGGACATCTTGAGGGGCAACCCCTCCGCTAAACCCGAGGGGGCCCAATCTGCAGAGATTGATCTCATTTCGCTCGACAGCAATGAGGAAGTGCAAACCAAAACACCCAAAGACAAGCCCAGGGACGATCGGCAGCCAACTCCCAAAATTTCCGATCCTAAAATGGAGGCTGGCGGTGACGCGCCTGTTCGCCCACACCCCCTCCCTATGCACTCCCCGCGGCCCCTTCAGCCCTTGAGGCCTTTCCCATCTTCCCCCCTACTGATCATCTTGAGGCCGAGATAGATCAATTGCAGCACCGCATTAATCTTGAGCGCCACTGCCAGGCCCTAGTCGAGGAGCTTCAACAGCTCTCTGTTCAGGATCCTCTGGATCCTTCGGGATCGGTCAGGCTTCCACCTCAATCAAAGAGGGGACTCTCCTTACCTGATTCCTCACTGAGTGCTTTTCCTGTCACCAAGGTAAAAGATGACGATGACCACCCCGTGCGGCACCACTCTCGTTTTGGGTATAAGGTGATTAAGGAAATTAAGACTGCAGTCTCTCAGTATGGAGCCACAGCCCACTACACCCTGGTCATCCTGGAAGGGGTGGCTGAGCAGTGGTTGACGCCCATTGATTGGAATACCTTAGTGCGGGCGGTTCTTAGTGGAGGTGATTATTTACTGTGGAAGTCTGAATATTCTGAAAATTGTAAAGAAACTGCAAAAAGAAACCATAGAGCAAGGAATGGGTGTGACCTTGATATGCTCACTGGCGCTGGAGAGCATGACTCCACCAAAACGCAGATGTTATACGAGCCTGGCCTGTTTGCTTAAATCCAGGCAGCAGCCATAAAGGCCTGGAAAAGGCTCCTCGCTAAAGAGGATGCAGGGGCATCCCTCACCACTGTAAAACAGGGCCCTGATGAACCTTTTGTTGATTTTGGCCATCGGCTCATTACCACCTCCAACAGACTGTTTGGCAGTACCGAGGGCGGGCTCAAATATACTGTTAAACATTTGGCCTATGAAAATGCCAATCCCGGCTGCCAGGCTGCCATTCGGCCCCATAGGAAAAAGGCTGATCTCAATGGCTACATACGGCTGTGCTCGGACATCGGCACTTCCTATCAACAGGGACTCGCAATGGCCACAGCCCTCAGCGGCCAAACAGTCTGAGATTTCTTGGCCAATAAAGATAGACCCAAGCAAAAGGGATGCTTTAAGTGTGGAAAACCCGGACATTTCTCTCGGGATTGTAAACAGGCACAGGAGGGCATAAAGGGCAATGCTGATAAAATGCCAGGTCTCTGTCCCCGGTGCAAGAGAGGGAAACATTGGGCAAATGAATGTAAGTCCAAAACTGACATCCAGGGGAGACCCCTGCCTCCACGCCAGGGAAATGGCTGGAGGGGCCAGCCTCAGGCCCCGACACAAATAACTGGGGTAATCAACTTTGTCCCTACAGGCAACAACAATCCATTTCAGACCTCTGCAGAGCCACTCCAGGGAGTGCAGGACTGGACCTCAGTCCCACCTCCAACACAGTATTGACCCGGGACATGGGACTGCAAAAGATAGGAACCGGTGTCTACGGACCCTTGCCGCCCAACACCTGTGGCTTGGTCCTTGGCAGAGGCAGTTCCACCCTTAGAGGATTATCTATAGTGCCTGGAGTAACTGATTCAGATTATACTGGGGAAATCCAAATTCTGGCTAAGGCAAATGATGGTGTCTTTTCTTTATCTCAAAAAGATAGGATTGCTCAGATAATTCTGGTTCCCCTTATGACCAGCCCCAACCCTGTTCAGGGCACTGCCCGGGCATCTCAGAATTTTGGCTCCTCTGATTCTTACTGGGTTCAAGCAATTACTCACAAAAAACCTACCTTAACCCTATGGTTAGAAGGGAAAAGGTTTGAAGGGCTTATTGATATTGATACTGGTGCAGATGTCACCATTATTGCCTCTGACGCCTGGCCATCCAACTGGCCCACCTCGGACACAGTGACAAACTTAAGAGGCATAAGCCAAAGTCATAATCCCAAACAGAGCCCTAAACTCCTCACCTGGAGAGACTCTATGAATAATTCTGGTCTGATTAAGCCTTTCGTTGTCCCCCACCTGCCAGTCAACCTCTGGGGACGAGACCTTTTGTCACAAATGGGAGTGATGATGTGCAGTCCTAATGACACTGTCACTGCACAGATGTTAGCTCAGGGATTTTCTCCTGGAAAAGGATTGGGAAAAAAGGAGGATGGTATCGGCTCTCCGATCAATCCTGATGGCCAAACAGACAGGCGAGGATTGGGAAATATTTAATTGTGGCCATTGACGTTCCTGCACCCCCAAGCACTGCAGACCCAATCACTATGAAGTCTGACGATCCTGTTTGGGTTGATCAATGGCCACTTACCTCTGAAAAACTTACTGCAGCTACTCATTTGGTGCAGGAACAATTAGACTCTGGGCATATAGAAGAGTCCCACTCCCCCTGGAATACTCCCATCTTTGTTATAAAAAAGAGATCAGGCAAATGGAGATTGTTACAAGACTTAAGGGCAGTAAATTCCACTATGATGCTTATGGGTGCACTTCAACCTGGCCTGCCCTCTCCTGTTGCCATCCCTAAAGGATTTTTCAAAATAGTTATAGATCTCAGAGACTGTTTCTTTACTATCCCACTCTACCTGAAAGACCGCAAGCATTTTGCTTTTAGCCTTCCTTCCATCAATTTTAAAGAGCCTATGAAAAGATACCAGTGGAAGGTACTGCCTCAGGGCATGGCCAACAGCCCAACACTCTGTCAAAAATTCGTTGCCGCAGCCCTCCAGGAGGCAAGAAACTCCTGGCCCTCCATGTATATCATCCACTATATGGACGATATACTAATAGCTGGTAAGGAGGGAGAGGCAACACTCCAGTGTCTTGCGCAGCTAAAAATTGCCCTTGCTGCTGCAGGTCTTCACATTGCCCCTGAGAAGGTCCAATTGCAAGACCCATACACTTATGTAGGTTTTCAGATTGACAGGCCTCTCATATCCATTAAAAGAGCCTCTCTTAGGACCAATAACCTTCATACCTTAAATGATTTCCAAAAACTCTTGGGTGACTGACATTAATTGGCTCTGTCCCTATCTCAAATTAACTACCGGAGACCTCAAGCCCCTTTACAATATCCTCAAAGGGGATGCCAGTCCAAAGTCCAAGAGAATGCTCACTCCTGAGGCACGGTCCACCATCCATACGGTCGAACAAGCTATAGCAAGACAATTTATTACCCACATTAATTATAATAACCCCCTTTGGCTCATCATATTCAATACTGATTTCTCCTCAACAGGCCTGTTGTGGCAATCCCCTCGCAGCCCCCTTATGTGGCTCCATTCATCTGCCTCCCCCCAAAAGAATTTACTACCTTATTACGAGGCAGTGGCTGATCTCATTATTACAGGCAGGAAAGACAGCTGAACTTACTTTGGCATCGAGCCCTCTTACATCACCCAGCCTTATACAAAAACTCAGGTCGATTAGCTTCTTCAGAATTCGGACTCTTGGCTAATCGCTTGTGCTGGTTTTTCTGGTTCTATAGATAATCATTATCCTCCAGACAAACTTGTCCAGTTCTGCAGACTGCATGCTTTCACTTTCCCCCGTATTACCAGTCCAGAACTGCTGTCGGCTGCTTCGCTGGTCTTCACTGACGGCTCTTCAAATGGATTGGCAGCATATTTAATTGGGGACCGCAAGGTCTCTTTTCAGACCCACTTCTCTTCAGCCCAAATGGTGGAATTAGCAGCCATTATTTCGTCTTTTCGGCCTTCCCTATGCAGCCTCTTAATATCTATACTGAGAGCGCATACCTGGCCCACTCTGTTTCCCTGTTAGAAACCGTCCTGTTCATCAGACAGATCTCCAAAGCTGCAGATCTCTTTCGTCACTGCCAGCACCTTATCCATCAGAGATCTGTCCCCTTCTTTCTTGGTCATGTTCGAGCCCACTCAGACCTTCCAGGACCATTGTCGGCTGGAAATCATGCAGCAGACATAGCCACCAGGCTCGTTGCT